CAGGTTCAAGGGGAGATGGGTCGTTCAAGGTTTCAAACAAACCCACGACATCGATTAAGGCTAGACTTTTGCTCCGGTCAGCCGCCATACGTCAGTTCGAATTCTTCTCACCATTGCTGCCTGCCGCCACCTTCCACTTCGCCAACTGGACGTAAAAATGTGTTAATATAAGCAGACTTGAATGCAGATATTTTCGTCGAACTCCCCCACACTTACGGCGACGGACTTCACATGTGCAAATTACTTAAGTTACTCAACGGTATCAAACAGGCTCCTCGCCTGTGGCAGCAACATCTTCACAGAGTGCTGATTTCACTCGACTTCGTGCAGCTACCCCACGATCCTGGAATGTATAGACTCGAATTTCGGTGGAATTACATTCTCGTATTCGCCTACGTCGATGACTTACTATACATCGGCTCGTGCAACAGTCTTCTGGAGCGCGTGGAGAAAAGAATCGAAACGATTCTTGAAGTGACTATTTCTCCAAACGTCACCCACTTTCTTGGGTTAAACGTTGACTGCGGCCTTGATGCCATCCATCTTTCTGCAAGTAAGTACGCAGAAACACCTGCGAAAAAAGTTCACCATCGCTCCTTTCGGCCTCACCATTCCACTTCATTACATTTCGGCTGATCACACACCTGGTATTACCTTAATTACCGCCTCCGAGCATCGGCTTTACCACCAGCAGCTCGGGTGTAGTCTATTTGCAGCTGTTACATGCCGCCCATATCTTGCCTACATCACGAGTCAGCTCGCGCAGTACTTGCGCCAACCTTAAGGCAAGAATATAGCCGATCTTCATCGAGCCCTCAAATATTTCATTTCTACTCCTACAATCGGCATCGGCTATACGACAAATGCTGCAACATTTTTTTTTATTGTCTGTATACTTTGATGCGGATCACGCTGCTGACTCCGACAATAGGCGTTCGCGTACAGAAAGTCATCGCATTTTCGTCAGCCGAAGCAGAATTCGTTCCCTTTGTCGATTTCGTTGCACTTTCGAGCTTGAATCAGGTGGTGTCATTTCTTGGAACTCAACGAAACAGGAAGTCATCGCACTTTTGTCTGCCGAAGCAGAATTCGTCGCAGCAAGCTCTGCAGTTCGTGAAGGACTCTATCTTCAAGAGTTACTTCAAGAGGAGAAAATCGCAAAAACACGTAACTTCAAGTTACTCTGCGATAACCAGAGTGCAATCAAGATTGCAAACAAACCCGACTTTGTCAACAGGACAAAATGCATCGCCCTCTGTTACTTCTTCGTCAAGGACGAAATCGACAAATGGAAGGTCTTCTTGAAATACTGCCCCACATAAGAAATGGCAGCTGATTTTTTTACGAAGAAACTCCCACGCGGCAAGTTTCAGTACTGCTCCAACCTGGTTGGAATCTGCAAACGCGGCGACACTTATCCAGAGACATACACTCAGGAATAAAGGGGGGTGTTGATGTATACTTGACAGAGTTTACTTATGCATTCCTGATATAACACGTAAACTGAACTACTAGCGCGATACCTTATATGGGAGGACGCGCGTGATGATGTCAGTAGTAGCGAGTCAACGCGTGAACAATAGGTTGACGCGTATAGTCACTTGAAGGGCCACGCCACCCTCAGTCACACAAACATTCACTAGTCATATCACGAGAACAGTCACGAATCACTACGAACATGTACATTCCGAATAGGTATTTCCTACCCTATAAATATGTATGTATTATCCATTATTATTATCCTTGTCATTTCTGACATTTCCAATACAATGTGTAAAGTCTTCCGCTGACTTTTACTCGTGGTTCCACCAACTCTTCATCTTGACCACCCTAAACACGTGGTTCACTTTTACAATTCGGACTGCCTCTCATGCAAATTCATGAACCACCAATCTTTATGCTTTGTGTTGTCTCGATTAACAATCCACCAACTTGTCGGCTGATGAGAGCCGACAACCATTCAGTTGTTCCGTTTTAATTGGTTGGTTGGAGTCCCATAGTGTAATTTCCGTTAAAAAATAACATCGAGTACAAAATAGGATATGAAGCCTGTTCCCTTCTAATACACATGACGTCCAGTGAACCGCCCATTCGTCAGAGGCCCCCATGCGCTCGTCAGTCCGACTGCCACGGATATGCAGGCAACGGCCCGTCATGGACTGGCCCAATTTTGGGCGGCTCAACCACTTGCGACACTGCTGGGAGCGAACATGCAGAAGAAACAATTGTAGGTTGACTCGGAACCAGGGTGCGATTATGCGACAGTTACCGGGGTACACGGGAGAAACAACGCATGTCTTCCATGTTCAATGGGTCCTGCCAAACGGGTAACCATGGTCCTACCTTCAGGCCCAATTTGCCAGCGATTTGAAGGCGTCCGTTACTGGAGCAACTGGCCGAAACAAAATTGGGCCTCTTTCAGAACTCTGGTGTACCGGCCAGCTCCGTGTGTGATGCAACTTGGCGCCAGAAAGTTTGGTTTGGTTTGGGCCAGGTGGGCACACGTGCCAACTTCGTGTTAGGCAGGCAGGCAGCCTTCAGAAAATCGTTGACGCGTCCCATGAGTTCCCGCGGTCCCCACATCCTAACCCATCCAATGGCCTTTCCTATAGGCACTTGATTCCACTCTTGGAATTCTCACCCATAGCTCCGAAATTTGCATATTTTGGCTCAGAATTTGGGTCAGCCCGAAAATTGTACCCAAACCAGTTCGCTTCCATCCCAGCCAAATGGAATCTTGAGTGATGCAACCACCACCCAAGCTCCGCCACAGGCAATCTGGAATGCCGATACCATGCCACGAGCAATCCACCAATGTACACTGAGGGCTGGAATCGGAATCCCCCACTCGGAGTGAGGAACGAGTTTCCTGGAAAGTGGTTTCCATACACAGCATCCGTAATTTCTAACCCCGCTTCGCAAATTCCGCTTCCTCCTTAGAATCGACCCGATTCCCATCCCAGCTCGGCTCCATGGAGGCGGGGCGGGCGGGGGAGCCTTCGAAAACAAATCCACATTCCAATTCCCGAGACTCGGGGAGACTCGCGCGCATCAACAGAATTCCGCTTTCCTTCAAAAACATGGATCCTTGTCTCCACGCCCTCGCACCGACTCCAGTTTTTCAATGTTGCCTTCAATTGCCGTTTTAGACATATTTACTGTACATGCCATTGTTCTGGTGGGAGCCTTCATGTGACAATCAGATGCAAGCCTCTCGCTAACAGGATAATTACCCATAATTTAGAGCGATTCCATTTTTCCTATGGTTTATTTTCATCCGAACCGTTCAACTTACAGAAACGATTTCGTGTGATTCCTTCACATAACGAGTATCCTTAAAAAAAAATCAGGATGGGCTATATCTATACCAAGGCAAGACCCCACCTCCCCTCCAATCTTCTAGCAGAATTCAACACTTGGCGCGTTTTACGACTCTTCTAAGCCTTTGGATTCCTTTTCAGTTGAATTTAGAACGGCTGATTTCTTTTCGTAACGGGTTTTGGGAGGGGGGGGGGTCCGTTTGTTAACAGGTTATCGAGAGGAGATCCCGTCCCCTTCCTGAATACCCTATGGCTTTGCAAGAGGCCTTATCAGATGCAACACTCTGTAGGTAGCAAAAATAAATCTACAACCAAATAGAGTTGTCTAGTGTCAAACAAATCAAAACCAAAATGAATAAACTGTGTACTAATGACGAATATTAAACTGGGTTGATACGTAAAAAAACAAATAGATATTGCTGTATACTATTCTTATTGTATATAAATGAGATTTTATTTATACTAAAATACAATTAGAGATATGATGTAAGGAGTGGAAAAATGAGGGCAGAAAATGAGAATGGGGGGAGGAAGAAGGCATAATCCAATACATTGGACGAAAAGACTTGATAGAAAAAGAAAAAGTTTGTCAAATTCGCATGCACGGAATAACGAATCTATCCTAGATAGTTTGGCCGCTCTAAAACCACAACCTATATAGGGCGTGTCTGCTTGTATATCACTCAATTTACCAACCTTCTTATAACCCTCAATCAGCACATACACTCTCATGAGCATTCATAATTGGTGCCATTCACAAAAGGATAACCCACACATAGCTTTATTGTAGAGCCATCCTAAGAGAAGCCTTTTATGACCCAAAAATTTATGTTAAATATTTTAAAACCACCACTTCCAGACCATTAGCTAATATGTCAGAGTTTCAACAGTATGACTCCAAAATGTTTTGAAAATTGTATATTCTTTATCATATATAAGGTTTTTAAATATTACTTGTTGGTTGAGTTAAGCCAATTTGGGTCACCAGTAGAGGTCGTGTTTCTGTTCAATGCTTTTTTAAAATATATGTATCAAAATAAAGTTTGTTTTTTTTTCTAGGATATTATGAAGCCTAATGCTTTATTTCGAAACACCAATCTATGAAGCCTGGCTACCTTTAAAGTATCACTTCACGTCCAGGAGTAGAGTTTGCCTCACTCTTCATTCCATTTCCGTGTTTCAAATCTTTGTCCTGAGCTTTCCAAATGATAAATCTGCGATTTTTCAGGGGCACTGGCAGATTGCTTCAATAGGGGAACTTCTCGTGGTGGGTTTCGGACAAGTAAACTTATTTTATTAATAGCGCGAATTTACAAAGCTGTGTTATTGGCCCCCCAAGCATGTTCTTCGCATTTCCTGCCTTCACTGTCGGCGATGAGGGAGCATCCAGAAAGCAGCAACTTCGTCGGAGGTTTCGCAGCTGTCTGCCGTTGCTCGTGCTGGTTCGGAGCGCGGTTCATGACATGACGCCGTTTTGAGCGGTCGCACGTGAAATGTCGACCCTCCACCGCACTACAACTTTTTAAAACGTTCTGAAACCGTGCTAAAACCGAGAGCATTCCGTGAAAGCTGCGACCACCTTCTGTCTCATGAACCGTGCTCTCATCCTGCAAGCTTTTTTCCCAATGGCTCAGCCCGCTCCTGTGGTGTGCAGTATTCCCCCTTACGCTGCTAGCATTTCTCCCATCCGCCAAGGTGGTGCCCATCCCCATCTGTCTGCTATAAGTTATCCCTAGCAGCAATGATAACTTATAGCATCAACTATACCTTCTGCGGCGACCGTGCTCATTTCTCCACTCGCCACACTGCCGTTTCGAGCAACAAGCGCTGCTCGCCGCAGTCGCCGGCGTTCGCCCATCCATCATCATGGCGACCGCCCCCGCTTGCCCGGAGTCCGAGCCTGAGTCCGAGTCCGAGTCCGGGTCGCCTCACAACACGGCGTCCGTAGGAAGCCTCCAGAGGCCCCGAGACTCCTCCCGTCCGGTTTGTTCCTACGCCGCGCGGCCAACTCCGAGACTCATCATCCAGAGGCGCCTCCTCCTCGCCGTCCTCGCGGCGTCGGCAGCGCTGACACTTGCAATAGCTCACTTCTCCGCACCAGCCGCAGCTGCAGCCGCGGCGCCCCCGCCGTCGTGGGGCCCGGCGTGCGCCAAGGGCTTTCCGCTGCGGCCGCTGTGTCGCTTCGCGGACGACCTGGCGGACAGCCCGCTGGTGACCGTCGACGGCGCGACGGGCCGCGCCGTGACGATCGGCGTGTTCCAGAAACGCGTTGTGCGTAAATCGAGAGTGTTAGTAGAACCAGCAGAAGTAACTGCTTCCCACGTACTAGGTGTGCAAGTCACCGTCGAACTTCCCAGTCCAGTCGCTGCCAGTTTTGGTCGAGTCAAATCTCCGCCGCCCGTCATCCCGTGTCGCCGCCCGCCTCTACTCCTCTTCCGCCTCTCGTCCTCCTCTTCCCTCCTACCCCCCTCCCCTACGTGCACAGCACGCCACTTCACTTCCCGGTCCCGCGTCGAAGGTGTACGTGTACGGTCTGCTGCCTCTCCTCTTCCCCAACCCGTCCCCCTCAGACTCCTCCCCCTCCAACCCCTCTCTCCCTCTCCTCCTCTCTACCTATTCCCCTCTCTCCCTCTCCCCGCCCCTCCCTCTCCCCCTCTCTCCCTCTCCCCCTCTCTCCCTCTCCCCCTCTCTCCCTCTCCCCCTCTCTCCCTCTCCCCCTCTCTCCCTCTCCCCCTCTCTCCCTCTCCCCCTCTCTCCCTCTCCCCCTCTCTCCCTCTCCCCCTCTCTCCCTCTCCCCCTCTCTCCCTCTCCCCCTCTCTCCCTCTCCCCCTCTCTCCCCCCTTTGCAGAAGTTCCACCGCGACCTGCCGGCGTCGAAGCAGTACGTCTATGGTGTGGACGAGGGGAGCGCGAGCTACCCCGGGCCCATGATAGTAGCGCGTCGACACACGCCCACCACGGTACGCTGAGGCTGTGAATACACACTTCTGTGACTCCATGCTGCGACTCCATGCTTTCTGTGACTCACTGCTGTGACTCACACACGGAGGCGCATGCACGGGTGCCATGTACGCACACGACGTAGCAGCTTGGTAGATCCAGACACACGCCCACCCCGGTATGCTGTGTGTGTGGGCACACATGCTGTGCCATGTACGCACGCACGGGTGACGTGTCTGCGGCATGATAGCAGCTTGGCATCCAGACACACGGCGCCCACCACGGTATGCCTGGGAGGCAGTAGCCTGCGTTTTTCTTTCGCCGCATGCGGCTCCAAGCTGTTCTGTGTGGGCGTACGCGTGTCAACGATCAGTGCGACGGGTCATTGAAGAGAGTGAGAAGGAACGTCTCAACGCTCCAACCGATCCCCCAGACGCCCCGTCCGTTCTTCCCCTCGTTCCTAATTCCACTCCCCATCTGTACATGCCACCCCTCTCCATCCCTCCACTCCCCCCCCACTCCTCCCTCCCTCCCTCCCTCCCTCCCTCCCTCCCCCCCATCCCCCAGGTGCGGTGGGAGAACCACCTCACGGACCAGCAGCACATGCTGGGAGTCGACTACTCGCTGCCGCACGTGCCCCGCCCCGCCAAAGGAGGCATCCCCATCTGTACGTGCCGCCGCTCCTCCACCCTCCCTCCCTCTCCCCTCCATCGCCCTTCCTCTCCATTCCCGCTCCCCTCCCATCCCACCCTTCCCCACCCCTTCCCACCCCCTCCCCTCCCCTCCCCTCCCCTCCCCCAATCCCCTCCTCTCGTTCCCGCCTCCTTCCTCTCCGTTTCTGCACACTCTCCTCCCTCAGGGTACTTCTGACGCTTGGGGAATCGCTGTTTGGCGATTCTCTGCTTACTGCTGCCTTGCGTTGCTGTCTGCTTATGTCCGATCTGCGCTGCCCCGCTGTCTCCCCCCTTGTTCCTCGTCTCTCAAGCTCCACCTCCCTGCAACCCCGCACCGCACATGCACGCGTGCTTTGAGCCCATGCAATAACCACCAATCCTCGTTCTCTACCCCCTCCCCCCCCCCCCCCACACCCCTCTCCTCCCTCTTCTCCCCCCTTCCTTCTCCTTGTCCCCCCTCCTCCCCATAACTCCCCCATTTGCCTTCCTTCTCCCCCTCCTCCCTCCTTCCTTCCCCCCACTCCCCCACCATCCCCCCGCCCAGCCCCCCACCTGCACGGGGGCGAGACCCCCAGCGCCTCAGACGGCCATCCGCACGCATGGTTCACGCAGCACGGCGACACCGGCCCAGCCCTCTCCGCCTCCACCTCCTCCTCCTCCACCTCCACATACCCCAACGCGCAGCCGCCCGCACTGCTGTGGTTCCACGACCACGCCATGGGGGTCTCACGCCTGAACGTCGCAGCGGGCATGGCGGGACTGTACCTCATAAGCGACCCCCAGGGGGTGGAGAAGAGCATGGCGGGGTGGCTGCCGCAGGGGGAGTTTGACGTGCCGCTCGTGCTGGCGGATAGGAAGTTTGGGAAGGACGGGACGGTGGTGTATGGGGGCGCGGGCATGGGGGGGACGCCGATGGAGTACCTTGGGAATTTGGACGTGGTTAATGGCAAGGTGAGGCGCACGAGGGTGCACTCGCTACCGCGCACTCCCCACCGTGCACTCCCCACCGCGCACTCCCCACCGCGCACTCCCCACCGTGCACTCCCCACCGTGCACCATGCTCTACTCCCTATGGCACTAATCATTCCCCGTCCTAACTCCAACCCTGCCCTCCTCCCCTCTGCGCCCCACGTCCCGCGTCTCGCCCTTCTCGCCCATACTCCTCCCCTCATACACCTCCCCACCATCTCCAATACCGCACTGCACCGTGCCATTTCTGGTCATATCTGTCTCACTTCCCTGAGTCCCTCCTACACTTCCTGTAGCGCCTTCTGTGCCATATCGCCGCCTTGCCTCTCAGATATCGCCATATCTATCAGTGCAGCCTCGCCTGTACAGCCTGCAGCTGCTGATCCCTCCCCCAATTCCTCCCACACCCCCTATACCGTGCCTTGCCGTGCCGTGCCGGGCCATGCTATGCCGTGCTGCCTCCTCGCCTCGCCTTGCCTCTCAGATCTGGCCATACCTGTCAGTAAGGCGTCACATGTGCTGCTTTCGCCTGCTGTTGAGGCGCCTCAGATGCAGCCACCTCACAACTCACCTCCTTTCGCCCCTCTCTCACCTCACCCCCCGTGCTGCCCACCGTGCCAGACCGCCCCTCCTCACATCGCCTTGCCTCTCAGATCCGGCCGTTCCTGTCAGTAAAGAAGCGCCTGTACTGCCTGCGCCTGCTGGTCCCTCCTTGATTCCCCTCCACACCCCCTATATGGTGTGTTGTGCCGCCTCCTTGCCCTCCTTGCCCTCCTCACCTCGCCCTGCCTCGCAGATCTGGCCGTTCCTGTCGGTGAAGAAGCGCCTGTACCGCCTGCGCCTGCTGGGCGGCTCCAATGCGCGCATCTTCCACCTGCACTTCCAGTGCGCTGCGCCTGCGGACTACCCCAACCTCAAGCTGCCCCTGCACGGACCCATCGTCCCCGTTCTTCAGGTGCGTGACTCTGTGCTCCAGGTGCATGTGGGGTCTTTTACTCTGCTGCTCAGTCTGCCCATGTCCATATCTGCTGCTAGGAGCATTGCGTGAGGCATCTCACCATGCGCTTGTGCATCTGACTGGCCCCACATCCTGCTCTTCAACAACCCCTGTTCCCTACTCCTCCTCCCAACCCATTGCCACAACCAGATCGCCTCAGACGGGGGCTATCTAGCAAATCCCGTGCGCCGCTCGTCCATTCTTCTAGCCCCTGGGGAGCGCATTGACGTGCTGCTGGACTTCTCAGCGCTGCCCTCAACCGTGTGTCGCCACATCCTGCTCTTCAACACCGCACCCGCACCCTTCCCTGCTGGCAGCATGGGCAGCGGCAAAATGGGCAGCGGCACGAGCGGCGGCAGCAAGCACGGGAGCGGCATGGGCAGCGGCAGCATGGGCGGGAGCAACATGGGCAGCAGCACGGGCAGTGGCATGGGCGGGGGCGGCATGGGCACTGGGAGGTCGGCAGGGATGGCGGCATCTAGGGCGCAGAGTATTGCGGTGGCGAAGAGTGGCCCGGGGCTGCTGATGATGCTGAGCGTGCTGCAAGGAACGGCAGCTTCCGCCCCGACCATACCAAATACCATACGGGTGTGTGTATGTGTGATGGGCGTTGGATAGTGGTGATGGTGTGGGGTGGTGATGGTGTGGGGTGGTGATGGTGTGGTGGTGATGGTGTGGGATGGTGATGGTGTGGGGTGGTGATGGTGTAGGGTGGTGATGGCGTGGTGGTGATGGTGTGGGGTGGTGATGATGTGGTGGTGATGGGCGGTGATGGGTGTTCAATGGGCGTGCTCTGCCCTTTCCTGATTCAATCTGGACGTCCACCCTTCACAGCACCGTTCCTTGTAACACACTTCTGCTTCCTTCCTTTCCTCCTCCCTCCCGTCCTCCCCCCCTTTCACTTCTCCTCCTCCTCCCTCCTCCTGGCTCTTCGCCCAATGTGCACAGTAGACGTTCCACTGTTTCTTCATTACCTATGCTCGTTCTTCTTTCCACCATGCCTACGGCGTCTTTACTCCCTCCTGCCCCCATGCATCCCCTCCTCCCGCCCACAGGCCATTCCCCCCGCGGCTCTCTCGGAGGTCTCTCGAGTGCGCTACCTCATTCTCTCTGAAATGATGGGCGGCATGGGGGGAGGCATGGGCGGGGGCGGAATGGGGGGAGGAGGAATGGGGGGGAAAGGCATGGGGGGCGGAGGCATGGGGGGCGGAGGGGGAATGGGGGGTGGGGGAGGCATGGGAAGTGGGGGCGGCGGAGGAGGAGGAGGCGGCATGGGGGGGATGATGCGGTTCTCCATCAACGGCAAGGGCTTCATGGATGCAGCCACAGAGGTGGCCGCAACAGGGTCCGCGGAGGTGTGGCACGTAGTGAACACGGGCACGCACGCGCACCCCATCCACATCCACCTCGTGCAACACCGCCCCCTCTCCCGCCGCCCCTTCAACTCCGCAGCCTTTCTCAAGGGCACCTGCGCTTTCACCAGCACTGGCAGCAGCAGCAAGCCGAGCTGCTACACCAGGGAGGCGGTTCCAATGGTGCCATGGGAGAGCGGATGGAAGGACACGACCCTGGCGTTACCCGGTCAGGTGCTGCAGCTGTTTGTGAAGTTCTCGCCTCAGGATGGGTCGTCGTTCCCGTTTGACCCCACAGCGGGCCCTGGGTATGTGTGGCACTGCCACATCTTGGAGCATGAGGAGAATGACATGATGCGCCCCCTGATAGTCTCTGCATGATACGCTAGTATCGGCTTCAGACGCGCCTCACCTCACCCCAAATGCGCAGTGGGGTCTGGGGGGTATGTGTGGCACTGCCACATCTTGGGGCATACCGTAATCACCCGGATAGACGCCCCTCCGTAGGATTAGTCCCATGGGCTCTAACTCGTGCATTGGGACTTATACGCATTATTCGATTATAGGCCCCCCTTATTTTTCCAGAACATGTACCCTATAAGCCCCCTCAGAAATTCAGTTGAAACACTGTACAAATAGACCGAACGGGTGCAGGTAATACCGAGGCAACTCGCTTCGTGCCCGTCAGAGGCGGAACTCACGCTCCCTGACACCTCGCGCCAGCACAATTCGTATCAGAAAAGGAAGTTTCCAGCCTGGCACCGCGTTGACTGGACTTCCAACGCGATTGACTTTTCATCCTCGCCTAAAATTACTCCCATTGCACACGACAAACCAGCAGCTACATGTCGATGTCAAACTTAATTTTCCATATAATCCCTTTAAAACGCCCATGGGCTTATAATTTTTATTCAATTAAACGCCCCCCCACGTTTTCAAACCAGTCTAGTAAACGCCCCTAGGGGCGTCTATCCGGGTGATTACGGTACCAAGTGGAATGACATGATCCCTCCTCTGATCCTCGCTGCATGTTACAGTAAGGGCTGCCAGATTTAGAGATGCCTCACCTCACATGCCCACGGCAGGTCCCCCCCTACCAGATGGTGCTCCCCGGTCTGTGGGGAGGATGAGGAGAAAGACTGCATGCACCCCTTGCTTGTCACCACATGATATGATACATTCATACTGTTTGATTTTGAGTAAAATCTTTCATGGGACATGATAGGTATGACATGATACTGCAGACATGACGTGCCAGTCTAGTACCGGTACCGGCCAATACTCTTTGTGTACAGTACATTCTCATGTCTTAATCCCCCTAAAATCAGGTGATGCCTGTTTGTGTCCCTATTGCAAGCCCTAGATGGTAACCTGGGTTGTTGATCTACTGAGTAAGAATTGAGGTTTGATGCCTGATACCAGTAGCTGACCTGCACACAGAGAAGCAGGATCACAACACACAAAATAAGACTAAGTTTAGGGTGCAGTGCAGACTCCCATTCGAACATCGAGACCGTGTGCAGAGAGATATCGACACGAGCACCTATCATGAGAAACAGAGGGGAGGGAGCGGAAAGCGGAACAAAAGCCAAGAGGTAAAACAGTAAATAGTCATCTGTCCGTAGTAGGACCAGGATGCGAAAGAACACAGCTGAGGTGGGAGAGGGATCAAAAGGAACGAGGGAGTGACACAACACAGAATGGCGAGGGAGAAAAAAAGAAGAGAAAAGAAGAGAACAACATGGGGAAGGAAACAACAGATTAACAGAGAAAGAGAGAGAGAAGCTCTTTAAGCTAAAGAGCTCTCTCCTTGCAACTTTCCCACTTTCTTCCACTGAAAGCCGCTTTTCCCTAAGACATGGCTTAGCATGTTGGCGTAACGGCATGGCATGGCAAGGCATTTCACGATACAGTGGCGTTGCATGCTAATGGTACTGCATGATAGGCCATGGTAATGCATGATAGGCCATGGTAATGCATGATAGGCCATGGTAATGCATGATGGGTCATGGTAATGCATGATAGGTCTTGGTAATGCATGATAGGCCATGGTAATGCATGATAGGCCATGGTAATGCATGATAAGTCTTGGCAATGCATGATAGGCCATGGTAATGCATGATAGGTCATGGTAATGCATGATAGGTCTTGGTGATGCATGATAGGCCATGGTGATGCATGATAGGCCATGGTAATGCATGATAGGCCATGGTAATGCATGATAGGCCATGGTAATGCATGATAAGTCTTGGCAATGCATGATAGGCCAAGGTAATGCATGATAGGCCATGGTAATGCATGATAGGCCATGGTAATGCATGATAGGTCATGGTAATGCATGATAGGTCTTGGTAATGCATGATAGGCCATGGTAATGCATGATAGGCCATGGTAATGCATGATAAGTCTTGGCAATGCATGATAGGTCATGGTAATGCATGGGTAGATACTGCTCAGTAAGCAATGACAGCGCAGATGGTTGCTTCCTAAGGTGGCAATTTAGGGTCACGACTCCCATCATCTTCCTGTCTCCATCCGAAATTTCTGATCCGCCATTAACTCCCCGCGCCATCTCACCAGCTCTCACCTTCCCCTGTACTCACCTACTACACACGCCCGAGCGAGCTGTGCCGTTTGTTGTATTGGCATGCAAGCAGCATTGGTGAGAGGGTTTGAGAGAGAGAGGGGAAGGGGGGACGGTCCAACGGACGGACGGCGAAAGGAATGGAGACGGGAGGGAGAGGGGGAGGGGGGGGAAGGGGGGGGGGGGGGGGGGGGGGGAGCGGGAGGAGGGCGAGAAGGGAGTGAGAAGGCAAAGAGCAGCAGCCATCTCCCCTTCAGTTTCCACTTCGACGCCGCTCATCTCGCCTTGCATCCACCACCTTCTTCTCTCTTTCCACACTCTTTTCACACTCTCACTCACCCTTATCAGGAATCTGGGCTTAAATCGAATCCAATCCGCCTCTTAGCGCGCAGCACTCGTCCCCACGAGCACCCCTTGCGACGCCCCCGCCGCTTTGCTCGACTCCGCTCCCCCTGGGCCGCCCGCTCCGCCTCCCGCGCTCCCCCCCCCGCCTCCTCCCCCTGCTCCCCCCCCCGCGCCGCCCCTCGCCCGGGTCACCTCGTCCACGGGCCTAACGCGGATATTAAACCGCGTTTCCAGCGCCGCCAGATCCTGCCGCTTCTTAGCTAGCGACTCCGCGAGCTGCTTCACCACCGCGTCGAGCGCCGCCGCGTTGCGCGCGACCGCGGGGACGACCTCCCCGATGCGCCGCTCAACCAGAACTCCGCCCACCGCGCGGAAGCATCGGCGGGAGGGGTCCATGCCCTCGATCGCAGCGGAGACTAAGCGGTGCTCAGCCAGTTCCTGCTCGTGCTCCGCGATGCGCGAATATAGCCGTTGGATGTCCCCGCGCAGCTCGTTCCATCTCGCTATGATTTCCTTTTCCGATGTGAAATTCTCCGTGCTGCCCTCGCCGGCACCGGAAGTGCCAGCGTCGGCGGGCTTGGCGGCAGATGCGGATTCGTCGGCGGGCTTGGGTTGCGAATCGGACGGTTGCGCTGGCGTGATGTCCATGCTGGCTGGATCGGACGGTGAATCCATGGCGTAAAGGGAAGGAATGGTTGACGAGCTGCTAATACGGAAACCCGCGTGAAAAACGAGCGATCGATAGACTTCAGAGGGCGTAAGTCACGGAAATCCGACGGTGGAGGTGGTGACTGGTTAGTTGAATGGTGAGAGATGGGAGTGAAGGCCGAGAGATCGTGTTGGGTTGGGAGGGGTGAGAATATTGTGACGAGATCGTGTCGAATTTCGCGAATCGACCTCCGGCTAGTAACTCATCTCGTTAGATACCCGTTGTAGCGCCGCAAGAAGTCGAGCGAGGTGGAAATATATTGTTGCTAGAGATACTATCATCTCTACATAGATATTGACCATCACACAAGGTAAGGGCAAGTACTAGGTTGTTTGTTGGTTTTATTTTGTGGACGTTTGGCGTTAATTTTTTATTAAAAAAATGCAAACCACCCACCCCCTAAATCGTCCTACAAAGCTTATTGCAAAACCCATGAGCCTGCACACTATCCCCCAAAACAGCAAAGCATGGAGCCTCTATTCGCATTGTTCCCACCACCTCCTTCCCTGTCCGCTGCACCATCTTCTGCACCTTCCTCATCCCAACTCCTGGAAAACCACACGTGCTTTAGGAGGTCTTGGCTCAGCATCCTCGCCTCTGGATCAATCTGGAGCATAGCACGGTATAGATCCTTCCCTTCCTCGCTCACCACCTTCCATTTCTTCTTGCTTGGTGGCGGCACGCCATACTTTGCCACGTCATGGGGCTGCTTATAACGAGGCAATTCTCCAAACAGCAGCGCATGAAGCACCACCCCAAGACTCCACACATCAGCAGGGAAACTATATGGTTGCCCAGTAGCCAGCTCCGGAGCCATGTAACCCTCTGTCCCGCACCTCCCTTTCAGCTTCTGCCCTTCCTTAACAATCACTGCAAGCCCGAAATCTGCCAGCTTTATAGTGTAAGGAAGATCTGAGGCGAGGCTTGATGTTTTGGGAATCCCCTCGGGTAACGGACCGGCGGCTTTCACCTTCCCACACGTGCACTTACTCTGTTTGGGCCTTGAGGGCTGATCCTCACTGGAACTCCTGGACATAGCTTCCGCTGCTGACTCTCCCCCCTCCCCTCCTCCTTTCTCCTCCCTGTCCCCCTCGCTCTCTGCTGCTTTCTCTTCTGCTGTCAAGGCCTCCCCGGCATCCCCGATTGAAGGGATGGATGTGAGGGGCGGCAGCTCGTCCTTGTTCTCAATGTCTAGCAAGTCGCAGTCCAGGCAGAACCGCTGGTTTAGCACAAGGAGCACGTTCTCGAGCTTTATATCCCGGTGCACCACACTTTTCATGTGACAGTACTGCACTGCCTCCACTAGCTGCCGAAACACGTCGACCGCTTCCTTCTCCGTCAAGCCGCCCGCGTATCCGGCCTTGATTTTGCCTCGGGTCGAGGCTCGGGACTCCATCTCCTTTACTAGGTGATCCTTCAAAGTGCCACCATCGCAGAGCTCCATAACCACACGAAACCTGTCTTTAGTGTTGTATACCTTCTTCACCTGCTCATGCCCACAGGTACAGTACCAGGTATGGGGGAGGACGAGGGATGGAGGAGGGACGAAAAGACGGCAGGGGTTTGGGAAGTGGGAAGGGAGGGGGAAAGAGGAAGAGGAAGTAAGGGCTCCAGGTTTTTGCTATCCCTGTGGATACTGTTGGAGATTATGTTGGTTACATTTGGTTGCATTGTTACAGGGTACAGTGATGGGCATTAAGGTTAGTACATTCCATTCGCAATCAACAGGCGTTCCGCCCTTTCCCCTTCCCCCCATTTCTTCCCGTACCCCCTTTCCCCCTTCCGCTCCCCCTTCCACACGTGTACTGCCGCTTTTCATACCACAGGGAGTCGTTTCCAGCGGCTCGCCGGCTGGCGTGAGGGCAAGTTTCGAAACAGGCGAGGCGAAACTACAATTCACAAGGAAACCCTAAAACGAGGACTTCTCTGGATGAAAGGAATCCCGTAGAGACGCCCGTCTGTGCACGGCGCGCGGAGCCCCCCAAACCTACCCACCAACCGTCCAGACCAGACCTACCAAACTAACTCCCCAAATGGAAACTTCGCCTGCCAGCCCTTTGCCCCACCAATCGCAAAACCTAACTCTGGCTCGACCCCCTCCTACCTCCCTCCCCAACCTCATCTGGGAGGCCTGCGCGTCTTCTTCACCACCACTGGCAAGCCAACTTTGCTCGAACCGCTTCTACTTTCCTCGCCTCCCATCCCTCCCCACCCTCCCCTCCCACCGCCTCACCTGGACGATATTTGGGTGGTCTCGCAGCAGCCCTAGAATCTTCACCTCTCGCTCCAGCGCGCGATGCCGCTCCATGAGCTGCCCCGCGGTCTCGCACTCCTCGTACATCGCCACCTTATCGATCGTCTTCACCGCGAGCGGCTGCGACCCCATCTCGCCCGTCAGGTCGCTGCACTTGTGCACCTGCCCGAATCCGCCCTTCCCCAGCTCCGCGCCGACTTGGAACCGTCGCGTGAACTGCATCGAGAACGGCGTCGTGCCCCACGACGCCAGGCGACGCATGCGACGCGCGACGACCTTCACTCCGCCGCCGCCCCCGCCGCCGCCGCCGACGACGATCCGCCTCTTACCCGCGTCGCCGCTCCCTGGCACGATCGCGGTGCCGCTAGGCGAGATCGCTCTGCCGCTAGCGGTTCTCACCACGCCGTCGTGCCCCTCCGCCATGTCGACCGCTCCCGCCTTAGCGGCGCCGGCGGCGGCGGCGATAGACGCGGCGACTGCCGCGGCACCGGCTTCGCCACCAGCGCCGGCGCCGGCGGCGGAAGCATCGGGCTCCGCGAAGGCGACGCGGCGAGAGCTCCCTCTTCCTTCCCTTCGAATGCTGCTGCTTGTGCTTCCCGGCCCTACCGCTGATTCTGCTGCTGCTGCTGCTGCTGCTGCTGCTTCCCCTTTCGCGTCAGCTGTTTCTTCCCCTCCTGTTCCTGCTGCTGGTGCTTCCGCGGCAGTGGCGGCGGCAGCGGCGGCGGCAGCAGGCACGTCTGCTGAGACGGCGGAGGTAGCACCAGCTGAAGCTACCACAGCTGCACTAGGCATTACTGTCTCTACAGCTGCGTCTTCCTTCAAAGGGGGCGTACTAGCCGCCTCCGGCGTTTCCGCTGCTTTCGCCGCGGTTTCCGGCATCGTGAGAGATAGAGAGTCTGAGCTTTGATGAAGCGAACGTCTTTGCAAAGCAGCCGGAGTATGGTAGCCTCACTGTATCATGCGTTAAATTGTTGCAACTATGGCGGCTCGGTCGGGGAGCAGGGGAAGGACGTCTGAGTAATGAGAGTGTTACGAGGTGCCGCGAAAGATAATTAGTCGTTATACAAGGTCAGGGGAGAGTCGTAATTAGTTTGCGATGAAAGAGAGAGCCTTCTCGAACTAGTCAGGCGCGCTGCGGGCGACTAGTAGAAAGTCAGCGCATGCGCCGCTCTGAAACCACCTTATATGCCTTTCAGCGCTTCCAAGTTGGCCATCACGGGCAAACTGGGGACACTCCTGGCGAGTCACGTAGGAAACGCCGGTTCAATTACTCTCTTTTGTGAATGAAGAAGGACCTCCAGGCTTCAAGTACAAATTGAAATGGCTTCAAGCCAAGCCAAGAGCAGGGGTACAGTGCAAATTATACTGTATAGTTCCCACTTCAGTACAGTGTGCAGCATATTCCCCCTGCTCTGCTGTCTTTCCGTGCCTTCGGGCCTGCTTCCTCGGGCCTGCCTTCAGCCGGAGAGCCGAGGGCGCCCAATGCGGGGGTTGTCAGGTTGGGGAAGGAAGAGGTGGGAAAGGGGAACAGGGGGGCGGATGAGGTGAGGAGTGAAGTGTATGGGAGTTTTGGGGGGCGTTGGGGAGGCGTGGGTGGGAAGGGAGGGGGGAGGGGGAGGAGGGGGGACGCCTCGCCTCCCCTGGCCTCTGCTTTCACAGGCAGCTGCTGGGAAGCCCTGATTTGGCGGCAGGGCTGAGCTGCACCAAGATTTGAAATAACGGTCGAAGTGCTTGGGGTGCAAGCAGGGCATGGTTTGGTGTTTATCCATGCTAAGACGGGTTTATATAATTTATGAAATCAAACAAATCTTTTTCTGACACTGCCGAGTTTGAACATGAGCCGTTAGCACTGTAGACACGAAAATCGGAGACCGCCTTGTGCGCTCGCCTGATTCCGGAGGAAGGTCTGTTCGCGGGCATCGCCTCGTCAGCTGAAACGGCTGGATATCTGATGACACACACATGGCACACGATCAAAATGGTCTCTGGCAAAGAAATCGGTTGGGGGCCGAGGAGCCGGTCAACTCTTGCCACATGGCAATACGAAGCGTTTTGACGGTTAGACGATTTGTTGGGGGCTTCTGTTGACTCTCTTGGAAGGGTTTAGTGTGTTAATGCAGTAACCGGTATTGGTACCTAGCACTTCCCTTGTAGTATTCCTTAAAACAAAAAAAAAAACAAAAAAAACAAAAAAAAAAACAAAAAACAAGAGGCGACGAGATCGTCTTAGGGTTGCGGAGCATTTCATGATGAGAATTTATTATACATAAAATGTGTTATTTCCATATCACAACAAACATTTGATTTTTATTTCACAAAACTAAAAAATAAAAATAAAAAAAAAACAAAAAAAAAAAAACCAGCCCGATCGATTGCAATAGGTTGCTCCGCAACCAGGCCCCTAGATTGGTTTTTAGGAGCCCTGATCGCTCAGGATTCCCCGAGTTTTTCTCTGATTTTTCAGGGTTGGTCCCAAAAAAATTCCTCGTGAATCAGGACTCCTAAATATTTTTTTCCTGAGCAGACAGAGTTACTTATGGAGTTTTTCCTGATTTCTTAGAGGTTCTTAGCGCATGCTTTAGTAGCTAATTTATGCTTGCAGGGTGAATCGAGTCAGGTAGCCGAGATTGCAGGGGCTGAGGGAAATTTCGCCCATACAAAGCTCTAAGGAACACATCGGGCCCAAAATTTGGCTAAGGACCAAGTGCCCTCCCTCACACTTGCCCCACGCGTCGAGCCACGAATTTGGTGAAGGGCCAATAAGCGCCCTCACTGAGCCTGGAGGGCGGGCCAGAACCTCGGAATCGGAAGTCACTGCTGGCCCCCAGGTCACGCATGGACGGAAACAAGTACAGTTTCGTTGCAAAGCTGAAATTTCAGGATTCGTTAAGAAAACTTTGCTTAGCAATCAGAGTTGACCCCCCAAAAAATGCTGAAAAAACAGGAAATGCCTTTCGAAAAATCCTGGACAATCAGGACTGGTACCAGCAACAACTTTGTTTTTTTCCTGAATCAGGAAAATTTTCCTGCAATCTAGGGGCCTATCCGCAACCCACAAAAAAAAAAACAAACAAAAAAAAAACAAACAAACAAACCTCAACGTGAACCTTCGATGTCACCCTCAGTGCAAACCTCAACGTGGCTAGTAGTGTTAAAATTATATAAATTATATATAATTTATAGGCTTGGTAGTTGTTATTGAACCTTACTGTAGAGGGTACAATCCCCTCCTTGTTCCCCTCTCTTCCTAATCGATCTCTCTTTTCTCTCGACATTCTCGCCTACTACCTAGAACTAGATCTCACGTCATTTTCATGGCTCCTCCTCAGGGTTCTCTTTTGGAAAAAAACGTATCTGAGGAATCAGACAAGGTTTGCGCACTCTGTCTGATGCACTTTTCACTATCAGAGAAGTATGAAAAACTTGTCTGATTTTTCAGAGAATTCTAGAACGAATGTCTGAAAATTCAGAGAAATGTATTTGCATTGTCTGTTTGTATGAGATGATGAGACTTGCAGCACTTGACTTATTAGCGGTTGCGGGTTATAAACGAGCAGAACCACTAAGCGTCCAATTGCTGAGGGTCGTGACGGGTCTGCTTTGCAGCAAAACCGCTAAGGGCGTGTCCTAAGAGTAGGTACGTCCCCCGTACTTTTTATACGGTCCACTTCGTTTCCTTGAGTTTCGAAGCGGTGGAGCGCGAAAACCGGTTCCAAGCGTGTTGCACCTTACTCCAACGCATTCAGATTTTGTGGGACGTACTCTTGGGACACACCCTAAGTGTCCAATCACAGGTGCTCTTGCCACATCACATGTTGCCAAAGAAGTCTCGGAAAGGCTCACGTCACGCGTGAGGAGGACAATACAAAGGACGCCGAGGGGGGAGCGATATGTGGGGGCGCGAAACAGTGAAGACTTGCGTGGGAGCCGGGTAACATCTATGTCTCTGTTTCAGAGAAACTCGATTCACTTGTCTAAAATCAGAGAAACTGGTACACCTAGTCTGAGAAATTCAGAGAAATCTTAAAAGCTTGTCTAGGCCAATCATAGTTTTTTTCAAACCGTTGTCTGAAAAATCAGAGAAACCCCTAAAAACCAGTCTGAAAATCAGACAATCAGACAAAAAAAGTCTGCTATTTAGGACCCTGCTCCTCCTATGTCTACCTAGACTAGCTTCACGCTCGTCCTGGGCCTGCTCCCCTCCTCGCTTCCGCTGTGTACTTCCCTGTTCGCCGTCGGCGTGGCCTTCCTGCTGCCTGCCGCCGTGGCATCTTTTCCTAGATGCCGCGGCGGCCTTTGTGTGGTGGCGTCCCAGCGTCGACGAGCAGCCGCGGCTCCGACACCACGCTGTGGTGGCGTCGTCGTGGTGCCGTGGCTGTGTCGTCGGCCTGTTGTCGTCGCGCACCACCGGCGTCGCTGCTGGATTTGCAGCCCGCCCGCCCGCCAGTAAGCGCCGCGCCAGCAATGGCGCCGCGCTGAAGATCCGAAGCCATGCCCCGTCCCCCTTTCCTCTGTCCCCTCCTCTTCGCTACAGCCGCCGCCTGACTCTCGCCGGTCGTCCCCCTGTCGCGGAGTTTGGACACGCCGCCGGAAGGGCGGGGGCCGCTGCCGTTACCGCTGTCGTAAGCCGAAGCCGACGCCGTCGCCGCTGTCGTCGCCGCAGGCCTGTTGCCGCCGCACGCCCGTCGTCGCCGTCGCTGTCGCCGCTGCCAGGACGGCCACCGCCGCCGCTGCCAGGACGGCCACCGTCGCCATCTCCAGGGCCTTGGGGTTGGCCCTGCTGGAGTAGTCGTGGCTGATGGGAATGGGGGTGCCTAGGTTAGGGGGTGTGGGGGTGTGTGGGTCCTTCTGCTACCAAGCCTAGGGGGTGTGTTACAAATATATATGTTATATATAATTTATAGGCTTGGTACTTGTTATTGAACCTTACTGTAGAGGGTACAATCCCCTCCTTGTTCCCCACTCTCTTCCTAATAGACCTCTCTTTTCTCTCGACATTCTCGCCTACCACCTAGAACTAGATCTCACGCCATTTTCATGGCTCCTCCTATGTCTACCTAGACTAGCTTCACGACAAGTAGTTCATCGCACACAATCTCTTGTCAACTCATGTATATGTGTTGTTATAGGCTAGATAGGTGCATGTTCTTAGAGAGTACAAAACCAAGCATAAGAATACCCTGTATGCCCTTGTCTAGTTAACGCGCTATTCTGAGATGGTATCACGCTAGGTTAGGTCCCCCCCTCACCCGCGCTTTCGCCCTAGACCGCCCTAGTGCCTAGCGCCCACCCTATCGTGCCCGCGCCCTAGCCTGCTGGCCCTTCGTGCGCCGCGCGAGCCCTAGCCCGCTGCCCCCCAGCTCGCCGCTGGTCCTTCGCGCGTCGCGCGAGCCCTAGCCCGCTGGCCCCCAGCTCGCCGCTGACCCTTCGCGTGCCACGCGAGCCCTTGCCCGCTGGCCTCTAGCTCACCGCTGGCCCTTTCACACGCCGCGCGAGACCTAGCGCGCTGGCCCTAGCTTGTTGGCCCTCGCTCGCCAGCCCTCACTCGCCGGCCCTAGCTCGCTCACTGCCCCTACCATGCTCGCCTGCCCTAGCTCGCCAGCCCTCGCTCGCCGGCCCCAGCTCGCTGGTGCTCGCTCGTCGGCCCCAGCTCGCTGATGCTCACTCGTAGGCCCTAGCTCGCCGGCCCACGCTCGCTCGCCGCCCCCTAGCTCGCTGGCACCAGCTCGCCAGCCCCAGTTCGCGCCGGCCCCAGTTCGAGCCAGCCCTAGTTCACGCTGGCCCCAGTTCGAGCCGGCCCCAGTTCGCGCAGGCCCCAGCTCCCGCCGGCCCCAGCTCCTACCGACCCTGCGCGCCACCGCCCCGCCGCCGGACTCTGCTTGCCGAGCCGCACCGCCCCAGCTCGCCGTGCCACGGTGCTGCCATACCGCAGTGCTATCGTACCGCAATGCTGCCATGCCGTCGTGCCGCTGTGTCGACGTGCCGCCGTGCCACCATGCTGCTGTGCTGGTTCCCTGCGCCGGCGCATCTGCCAACTGTCTCCTTTGTCGCGGCTTCCTTGCTCTTCACCGGTCTCCACCGCTCTCCACCGCTCTCCTCCTCCTCTAGCGGTTGTCAGCTGCTGCAGCCGTTGTGATGGCGGACGATGTGCTCCGCCTCGTCGCAGAGGGTCAGGCGGTCGACTTTGAGGCATGGCTCGTCGACCTTCGTCGCTTGCTGAAGGGTCAGCGCCAGGACGGCCAGTCCCTGGCCGTCCACGTTGACCGTAAGCTCCCTT